AAACGTATATGTATCTCTGCATACTTGATTTCAAACTTTTTTTTTTCTAAAATCTATTAATTTTTTGACCACGTTAAAGTTATAAATTAGACTTTTATCCTTTGAGTAATTATATTATTCATCTTAGATTTTAAACCTATAAATATATTTTCTTTAACGAAAATATTTCATTGTAAAAATAAATTTAATGGCAAATTTTTCTTGGCAGTCTTGCTTGTCTCAAATTTCATGTGGCTGGTGGTCACAGTGTAAAAACGAAGATCTTTCAACAATAATTTCAAATTTAACATTTACAAAATTCAATGTAAAAATATTCTTTCTAGCATTTACTCATTCGTTAAACGTCAAGGTAATTCCATTAAATGGGATGTTAACTTATTTTTTTAGGTCTCACTAACTAATCGGTGGGTTTTGTAAAAAAATGTGCTTGACCATTTAAAGATAAAATAAAATAAAACAAATATTTGTTTTTATTTGTAAAGGTTCTGTCCCGTAAACAAAAATTGAACTTGTTCTATGCATTTCTGACTGTTTTTTGTATTACTGACTATTTGTTCTATGTATTACTGACTGTTTGCTCTATGTATTACTATTTGTTCTATGTATACCTGACAGTTTGTTCTATGCATCACTGACTGTTTCTTATATGTATTACTGACTGTTTGTTCTATGTATTACTGACTGTTTGTTTTATGCATTACTAACTATTTATTCTATGCATTAGTGATTATTTGTTCTATGCATTACTGTTTTTTCTATGCATTACTGACCGTTTGTTCTAAAAACAAAACAAAAAATCATCTAGCATAATTATCGGGAATTATATTTTGCGCTCTACGGAACTCACTATTAAACGATACTTTCTTTCAAACACAGAAAAATTATGTGTGAGGTTATTCATTTTATTAATTATTTTACAAACCAATGCTTCATGTAGCGAACGTCTCTTTATTAAATAAAGAACTCTATCACTAACACGCCTTTACTAATGACGTCATCACTTCTGCTCCTGCTAAAAGATAACAACATTGACACCGCCATTTCCCATACCCAAATATACGTCACAAAATACAAAGCATAGAGCAAAGGCTACGAAAATAATAGTACCAGCTTCGCTGAATAAGAAGCCGCCAGGTTGTGAGGAAGCAGCAGGAAATGGAAGCAGTCTACCAGAAGCGTAATAATATAAATGATAAGAGATTAGAGATTCTGAACGGTATATCACGTCACAGAATCAGTGACACAAATGTTACTTTAAAAATTAACAACATGGAGTCGTAGGCCAGCACATGCGCAAAAAAAGCGGAAACCATAATCGAAATGCAGACGATCGATAGCCTGCGACCCGTTTGCAGATGATAACTTCCCATTACAGAAGATTTGTACCGTCAAGAACTGTTAAGTTAAAAAGGCCCCAAAGAAAGCTCATTGAAAATACTCTAATGCCTTGGCGGGTGAGGGGGTGGGGATCGATGGAAACTGTGATTGATTTCTTTACTTCAAAGAATTGAATGAGTCTAAAACTGTAGAGGTAATTCTATCAAAATAAATTTTTTGCTGTTTACCTAAGAATTGAAATGCAATATTTAAAATATAAACCACACGAAAATATTGAATAATGTCTAAAGTAATAATCAAAATATTAATATTTAAAAAATTATAATCAGGCTTCAAATGTATAAATTATGAAAAAAGCTTATTGACATTTGTCATATTAATAATTGATAATAATATTGTTTTGTATTCTAAAATGTTATTAAATACTAGAATAAATGACCCGAAACTATCAATGGTAGGTCTTTTGCGATAATTTCTACCTTCTACTGCAAAAAACTCATCACAATTTCTAACTTTAAAAAGAAGTATCTATATAATGATATTTACGTTTCTAACATCATTACTAAGTTTTGAGAAGCATTTATCTGCTATATATTATACGCCTACAATAATCCCTTTCACGCCCCTAAACTACTTTATGCCCGTCTAAACATGACCTTAAATAACCCAATCTAAATTATCACTAATTATTTCACTTTTGTCACTAAAGAAGTTAATTGAGGGACAATTTCTACGCTAGAGAAATACTTTAGATTGACCTCTTTTCGTGCCTTTGAACTATAACTTTTTTTCCTCTAAAAATTGTGAAAACATCTTAAGTGTACCACAAAATCTCTCTATATGATATAAAATATATTGTTCTATTAATATCTTCATAAAAAAATCTAAACAAACATTTGCCTTGTTTTTTTAATTGTACATTATCAAAAAATCGTAAAACAAAAAATTCTTTTATCTAAAGAAGAATCTCGCAACCGTTTTTCACGTCTATAACAGACTTAAATGTCTTTTTTTTTTTTTTTTTTTTTTTTTTTTTTTTTTTTTTTTTTTTTTTATGTTAATCTCATAAAAATACACATCACTTTACTTTCCGCAAATTAAAAACAAAAATATATTTTCATTTTTGTTAAAAAGAAAATTATATTAACCCATCTCATTTCTCAAAATTAATTTCAAAGCGTGTAAAATGATCGGGTTTTGATATTCATGGGTATACCTATAAAAATGTACCCCCGATTTGTTAACGCCATTTATTTTCTTAACTGGTAAATATATGTGTATTTGTAAAAAAGAGAATGTAAAATCTCTTTTTTCACAAACGTAATACCATAGGATTTAAATATATTGTCATCCATGTAAAAATGTACACATCCTATTTCCTACCTCCGATATGTAGGCCCAGGGCCGGCCTTAACCATTGCAACCTTTGCGGCCGCAGTTGGCCCTGCAATTTTTTTCTAATACAAAATCTTTTTTTTTTCACTTATTATCCTTATCCCTACCCAGACTGGGCCCCACGCAATCCGTTTCGCATAGGGCCCTGCAATTCTTATGGCCGGCCCTGTGTAGCCTATGTACCCAAGAAGGTTAATTATTTATCAAATTCATTCCTGTATTTGGAGACGTATCTTGTGCTGCCTGGGGCAAAATGACCCCGCCCCCAGATTTAAATAAAATTAATAAAAGGATTTTAGTCCTTTCCATTCCCAAACTAACATATTTTGCGCTTCATATGATTTGTTCTTATTTGGATGAGTTATAATTGGATAATTGAATGCTAATTGGCTAAGGAGTTTTGCTGCACTAATTAACGGCATTTTCTTATTAGAGGTATATTTAAAGTTTAATTTTTTATTACGTTATAAATTTAATAAAAGTATATTTTTGGAATTTAAAAAAGTGAAAACTTATTAAATGTTAAAAATACAAAGATAATATTTTGTGTGTGTTTTATTAATAATTTAAAAAGCAATCAATTATATTTCTCAATTTTATTTTTAAGAAGGGGAAAATTATCAGTTTTGGTTATTAAATCAAAGAAAATTAAGAGTCTTGGCTAAAAATAGTCGATTCGCACTATGACGTCATTTGCGTATTTATTTAGAACACATTAATTTTAATTTTATTTCGCAATATTAACAATGCACTAAAAACGCACTAAAAAATTGATTTTTGGGTTTTCCCGATAAAGTGATTACGGCGTAATTTTTTTTATTTAAATCTTTTTCATAAATTTCAAACGCATAAAAAACGTCAAGATAGTTCCTTAGTGGTTACTTTAAATGTATTTGTAATTGATAATAATAATACTTAAAGTTTTACTAAAATAAAAGCGGATATATAATATTATTTGGGCATTTAAAATTATTCAATTTCCTTAAAATAGTAGAAAATAAGTATGATTTTTTAAAGAATCTGAACGCATCTGAATCTTTTCGGTACTTGGGCGTTACCGTCCCCCTAGCTCATTCTAACCTGTTTTTTGTTTATTGTTTATTAAAACAAATATGAACGTTTGTAAAATAAAAGCTGATTAACAAACAAAAATCATGGAAATTAAATCAATACTTCATAACCGAAACAATAGCATCGAACTTGAGTTAGTTAGCGCTTTCTTTGATAAAGTAATGGTTTCTTTTCTTGAGTGTAAAATTATTCTGATGACTGGGATCATCGTAATACGATCTCTTTCGGCAATAACAATGGCGATCACTTAAGTTTTAACTACCAGCAGTTTCTGCTCTTTATTTTCACTCGTTCTGTCTGCTGAAGAAAGCTCTTAAATCGAAAAGTTCATTTCTTATTGTCCGGTCTTTTGTTTAAAGCTTCCATACACCTTGTTCTTTTATTTCTTTTGCACAGCTTGAACGCAGTCCTTCATTAATTATTCGTTTTTTTTTTTTAAACCCTATATAAATGAATGTCTTTTCTAAGATATATAAGAAACGAAGAGATGTGTTCGGCCAAATATATGTCCGTGTGTTTGACCTGATTCACGGTCATGTTTTAATTCCACGTTGGTTGCCTATGTGGTTCATAAAACACTTCAATCAAAAGCTTTTGACCTATACTCTGTACTACTCTACCTAAAGATGGTATATTATGTTGGAGGAAATATTTTATTTCTTCGCACGTGATAACTACAGAAACATCGAACAACATTGCACGGACTCAAGGCGCCCTGTTTGTGATGTAGTAGGTTACAATCTTATGCATAGTTACAGGTTCTTTTATGCTGATAGAAAATCGTTTCTCCTCAAGGCCCCATGATAAGGACCCCTGATGTATACAGCCGCGATATATTGTATCATCGATCTTAGACGAGCCTTTGCCTTGGTGGTCATAAAATACTTAAAATCAATAGTTTTGACCTATACTCCATTACACCCTAAAAATATTAGCTTTATGTTAGAACAGCGCTTCTCAACCTGTGGGTCACGTCCCCTGGGGGGGGGGGGAGGGGCCGAACGACCCTTACATGTCGGTAGCCTAAGACCATCAGAAAACACATTTCTAATAAAGTAGCAAAGAAAATAATTTTATGGTTTGGGATCACCACATTACACCCTAAAAATATTAGCTTTATGTTAGAACAGCGCTTCTCAACCTGTGGGTCACGTCCCCTGGGGGGGGGGGAGGGGTCGAACGACCCTTACATGTCGGTAGCCTAAGACCATCAGAAAACACATTTCTAATAAAGTAGCAAAGAAAATAATTTTATGGTTTGGGATCACCACAACATGAGGAACTGTATTAAAGGGTTGCGGCAATAGGAAGTTTGAAAACCACTGTGTTAGAGGAAATCTTTCAGTTTTTTCATATGATAGACTCCGGTGGAATATAATTATATGTGCTCCGAATATATCAATACGCTCATATTATTTTTTTGTGAGCAGAGCAATCACTCATATAATATATTTGATGACACACTCAGGGATCAATCGAGATTAGTAAGCAACAAATAAACAAAACCCATCGTGACGTCGAGTGCTGGCTAATCCAATGGGATGATATAATATCAGAATGTAGAGTTTAAAATTGTTTTAGAGCTGGAAGCTCTGATATCAATTGCAATTCAGATAATCTATTTTTCAATGACAACTCTCCCTGTATCTCCGTATTTTGAGTAGAACTCTTCAGTGAGTTTGGCACTTTCCGTGGAATTGAACCCGCTCATGTATCTGACAACCAATGCCCTGTTGTAATCTGGGTCACGTGGCCGCGTGCAGATAAATTCCCTGCCCCACTCGGTTGTACTCATGTTCCTGAACGTGTACACTGCCAGGACGGTCAAACTCGCCTCCACCGTCACGTGACCCCGAACCCTTGACCTGTGCACCAAAAACGGCGTCAAGTGTTTATCGTCGACAATCAGCGGCGGAACGTCGGACATGTCCTGCTTCGTGCCCACGAAGTACACCAGAGCGTTCTTCGGGTCCGCCCATGTGTGGTTGCCGTTAGCGATAGCGTCTCGACTGAGCAGTTGCAGGTTACGAAACCACCCTAGCCTGTAATAATGCATCGCCTTCCCATAAATAAATACTGGCTTCCCGGCGGTATTCAGTGCCCGTGTTTTCCCTTGTTTGGAGGCTGTGGTAGACGGCGTGACGTAGAGTTCTTTAATCGCCAAAAGCGTTTCTATGAACGACGCGTCGAAAACTGTTGTGGCGCGAGCGTACCCATAGAACGTGGCATTAAACTTGCCCATGACGACAGCGGACATGCTCCTGAAAACGGGCACGCCCTCGTGGTTGGCCTCCGGAACTGGAAGACAGGTCCAGTTGACGCTGTTGGCGCTGGCCATGTTCATCCGGCTGTCCGTGAACAGGACGGGCTCCACGATCGGACGGAGCATGTTCAAATTTTCGTACATGAGTTTCCGGTTGACCTTATCCAGGTCCGTCATGGGGTCCGGCCACCATGTGAACATTACCAGGAGCGGCGGCTCAACGCCTTCGTGGATGTCTCGCAGCAGCTTGAGCGACCTGTGACAGAACGTAGGATCCAATGCGCGGGTACGTTTGTGCTGGGTCGTGCTTGCGTTATAGCACAGCGCACCCTTCACCGATTCCACGATTTGATCGAAATTGCGCTCACGCTCAAAAGAAGCGGCTCGGTGCTTGTTTGGCGAGTTTATAACCGGATGTGACGTGTTGATACCCGCCTCGGGCATAAATCCCATGGATCTCAACGTCGACATTTCTTTCTCAACATTAACGCACAGATTGTCGCTTTTATTCGCGGCGCATATTTCTTTTACAGTAAGACCTTTCCTCTCTTGGGCCCAGAAAATTTCAAGGCTGCGTCTGACTAGGGTCAAAGTCATCTCCCTTGAGGCGTGGCTTCTCTCCATCTGATTGAAGGGTAGCAGCTCGGACCCGATGCGCACCGAGCCGAAATGTCTCTTGGCGAACGTGATCACGACAAAGGCTGTCAGAACCAGCGGAACACATAGAAGCCAGGTTGGAGCAAGTCTGGACCACCGAAGCCATCGACGCTCCAACGCTTTCCTGGGACTCATCCTAGATGAAATGAAAAGAAGAAAGATTATATTCGATTGATAACAATGTATTTTTTAAATGATTATATTTGATTGATAACAATTTACTTTTTAAATGATTATATTTGATTGATAACAATTTATGTTTTAAATGAAAAAGTTTCTTATAATATTGAGTCGAAATAAACCTAATTTAAAATGGTGCTAGCTGCAATGGAGAAAAGCTACCAATTATAAATGCCTGACATGGGGTTAACATGTCCCGTTAAAGGTAACAACAGTGCATGATGATATCGGAAATTGAGCTAAAACCCAAGGATAGTCCAGGTATAGTACATAGAAAGAAATATGACATAGAGAATAACTGCATGTCTATCGTTGCACCCAGTGGCTCAGGAAGTGGAGAGGGGTGGCTCGCCCTGAGGGGGGGGGGCACTTTTTTCTAATATATAGAGATATGTAAATTTCGGCCAATGGCAGAGATTTTTTTCCGTGGAGGTGGGTGCAAAATTTCACAGCACGCCGCCCGGCGGGACTGGTTCTAGTTTCACCACCTGGATGCATCCAAATAATTTGGGGAAATTGGGACAAAGTTAAAGTGTTGTCACATGCGCACATATCCCCATTGATAGAATGATTACGAAAGATACTAATTTGTGTAAATATAGTTTTAACAAATTAAATAAAATCGTTTTAATAGATCACTAAATGACTGCAAGTACCAGGGTTCAAAGGTTTGAGTTCATTCATAACAAAATTAGAGATTACACTGGAACATTTTTTTTTTCAGCAATCAACACACATTTTACGTTATTATATCAATATGAGCCTTGAAGATCATTATCGGTAAAACCACCAGGCAGATGTTTGACGTCTGTAGCCACCTAACAGGAAGTAACAAAGTAACTGTTATTCCTTAATTGTATTCATTGCTTCGGCAACCAGATATTTTTCATAATTTTTTCACACGCAAAATCGCTGAAATTCGTGCTTATCTTGATCTTCTTGATTTATCACCCCTTGACCTGCCTACTTCTTCTAGCGTTAGTTCACATTTCGATGTTTTTAAACCTGTTTCAGAACAAGAGGTCAAAAGTCTTACTCCAAAATCTAAACCTTCTTCGTGTTCTACCGACCCCATTCCCCCTTCACTGTTGGTTGAGTCGTTGGATCAATAATTGCTCTCAACGATAACTATTATAGTCAATGAGAACTTGTCTTCTGGCACTTTTTCCTCTCTTTGTAAGACAGCTGTCATTAAACCATTACTTAAGAAGCCTGGTCTTGATAAAAATGAATTAAAAAAACTATAGACCAGGCCTGCACAACTCAAAATGTAATGCGGACCGTAATAATTTATGAAAAGCGTGTGCGGGCCAAAAGAAAGTTGGAAGGATTGAAAGCTATTAAGACAAATAATAAGAATAAAGAATATTTTGTTACTTCGCGGGCCACAAAGTGGAAGCTGGTGGGCCACACGAGGCCCGCAGGCCGTATGTTGTGCAGGCCTGCTAAAGACATGTATCTAATTTATCATTTTTATCTCAAGTCATAGAAAAACTAGTTATAAATTTGATTTTTCGCTTACTTGAATGACCACTCTCTTCTCAGTCCTAGTCAATGGCCTATAGACCTTTTAACAGCACAGAAACAGCTCTCTTGCGAGTCAGAAGTGACCTCTTGCTTGCAATTGACAGCGTTAATGTCTCCATCCTGATCTTCTTACATCTCAATGTGACCTTTGATCCCGTTGACCATCAGACCCTTTACAAAACCCTTGAGAATTATTTTAGAACTTCTTATTCAGTTTTGACTTGGTTTCGGTTTTGACAGGGTTCCGTTTTGTGTCCCGTCCTATTCACAATGAATACCAGGCCACTTCTACTCCTGCTCGGGAGGCATGCTGTTGAGAGACAGTTATTCACAGATGACATGCAGCTATACAAGCATACCCATCCCTCTCTTGTCAATTCTGCTATCCACACCTTGCAGGAGTGCATTCGTGATGTCAAGTCTTGGATGACTCTCAGCGGTTAAAGCTAAACGATGACAAAGCGGAAGCACATCTCATTGACAATCATGAATCATCCTCTAACTCAGCTCTCCCCATCTCGTTTCAAGTAGGTAGCTCCGATATAGAGTTCACATCCTCTGCTAGGAATCTTGGTTATATTCTTTCTGAAAACATGTCTCTCAATAATCATATTTCTCACATATGTCGCTCTTCATACACCGCTATTCGTTATATCAGCTCCATCCGCCAGTACCTCACAGTCAGCGCAACAAAAACATTAGGCTATGCTCTTGTTCTCTCTCTTCTTGACTATTGTAACTCTCTTCTATCAAGTTCACCCTAACATTTCAGAGAAAAACTGCAGAAAGTTCAAAACTCAGCTGCTAGGTTAGCTCTAAAGGCAAAGACACGTGATCACGTCACTCCACAACTTCCCTCACCTAAATGGCTCCTCATGCAGGCATGCATTGTTTGCAAGTTGTCTGTTCTCTGTCACAACATTTTCTCTGGTTCCTGCACTTCCTATCTTACTGAACTTCTTTCTGTCTATTCACCCCTTCGAAAGCTTCATTCCTCCGCAGACACGCGTATTCTTTCTGTTACCACAACACGCACTAAAACATATGGTGAACGATCTTTCTGTTTCTGCTCCTCCAAACAATGTAATTCTCTCCCACTACACATCCGCAATATACTGACCATACAGGCCTTCAAAACTGCACTCAAAACACATCTCTTAAAACTCTACTATCCCGACTGGTTCACCACTATTGCCGATAAACGATGCTGCTGGTTGCCGTCCATTGCTTGACATGTAAATAGTTCTAGAATGGGTGATGTGAATATAGATTTGTTTTTGTTTTGGTGTTATACAGCTTTTTTAAAAAAATAAATAAATAATGTGTTATTTTTTAATGTCACGATTATGTTTGCAAATATTTTTATTTACAGCGCGGTGAGCCCTAGGCTTGGTTACCGCGCTATATAATACCACTAATAATAATAATATGACGATGATAATTTAGATTCATATTAAACATGTTACTCTTAATAAAAGTGACTCTTTTTCCGATCCGCCACTTTCATTTTCGAACGGCAAGTGCAATATCAATATAAATAATCATACTGTGTGAGCTAAGACTTGCGGAGCTAGACCTTACCTTTTCTTTTGTTTAAAAAAAAAATATATATATATATATATATATTATATATATCAAAATCCTGTATTTCTAAGTTCTGTAGATTTGAACAGCTCGTGGCCGGTAATGCTGCTTATCCACAATTCATTCACGCAATGCTTTAAATTTGGATAACTAACTCGGGCAGGTCAGTTGTTTGCCCCATTGATCCCATAGGTAATGTGCAGATAAAGTAATAAATTGTGTAGGCCTATAGATTACAGTGAGTAGGCATAATTATAAGTCGAATCAATTTTTGAGCGTTTCAAAAAAGGACACTGATACAAAAATTTTATATTTATCAGTATATTCATTGCCAGATTTAAACTTGCTGAGGTCCCTAGGAAGTCCAAATTATGTGGAACCTCTCACAAATATCTCATACTTAATGTCACATCCATCAAATCCCAGTTCGAGCCTTTCTACAATGCAATACAACATGCCTCACATTTTTAATGTTTCAGATTATAAAAAATAAAATAATACATTATACAATCATGATGTGGCGTGTACCTTTGAGAAACCTACCGCTTACACTATCTTGGCCCGCTCTTAGTTTTTAGTTTGCACTAGCCTAACCCTTGCTACGCGACCACATACTTGTTGGCCACGCAACAGTGAAGGTTAAAAGTACCCCCCGGAGAGACGGCCCTTCATTCTTGTGTCATTGTTTCATAACAAAAAAAAATATATTAAGGGGACAGATAAATCGATAAATAAACCCTTTGCAGCGAAAATTTGATAATCTGACTAGAGGAGTAACTAGAGGAGTAACTAGAGGAGTAACTAGAGGAGTAACTAGAGGAGTAACTAGAGGAGTAACTAGGGGAGTAACTAGAGGAGTAACTAGAGGAGTAACTAGAGGAGTAACTAGAGGAGTAACTAGAGGAAACTGTTGGCTTGCTGGCTCATGCGTTGCCAATATCTTAGTCACCTGGATCGGCCTAGCTCACAGCAAGCGTCAGGTGAGTCACTCACCAGCACCTTGCCTGGAGCGGCATTCTCTGTCTCTGTCATTGTCTCTGGTATAGAGCTAGATATGTGTAAAGTAATATGTATAGAGGTAAAGAGATATAGACATAGAGACGGAGGTATAGAGGTATTTATAGAGGGATAGAGGTATTGATATTTATACACACAATTTTTGTTTTCCTTTTAACGAGTGTAAATTTCATCTGCACGGGATATAAATGACTCATTTTCAAAAAAAGAATGACAATGCTTCTAATATAAAACTTTAAAAGAAACCTTTAAAAAACATTTCAATTAGCTTTTAGACCCACAAATTAATCCCCGTGGATTAACTTTTAGACCCACAAATTAATCCCCGAGGATTAACTTTTAGACCCACAAATTAATCCCCGAGGATTAAATTTAATAACCTGCTCCAAACTTTTCAACAATGAATTTTTTATGTAATTATTTTTCATATTAGAAACATAATAAAAACCATAAATATAACCATAACCAGTTGGTGGACAATGCCATGAAGTTTATCGTTTTAGTTTTAGTTATGCCTGAGATAGCCCCCATAAAAATCACTCACATATGACGGAGTTAAAATTGAAAAGTTGTCCCATTACAATCGGTGTAAAAATGCCATAAAACTAGATTTATTAATTCACATATAACCTATAGTGTTGTCTATACATATTGTTATTTATATTGCTTACATAAGGAATACTGAAATGGGGCCCAAAAGTAGTGGATTTGATGATTTCAGCAGCCTTCGGTATTTTGAATATGGATAATCAAGTGCATGTCGTGTGCAACGTTTTGTCCAGATCCGTCCATTCATTTAGGCAGTGGCGTAGCTAGGAGGGTGCGGATCGCACCGGGTGACACCATCTCAGGTGTGACACCAAGTTGAAAAATTGCATATTTACAGAGCACTGACTGCTCAGTCTAATTTCATAAAGGGATAACCGATCACATGTAAATTTCCACACATGTAACCAATCCAAATGCCTGCTTTATTAAAAATTCAAGGTTGGTGCGTCAGAAATGAGGTGACCCTATAATTAGGTCCGAAAAACACCGTTTTGACCATGATTCAACGCCTACTGAAGTGTTCCTTAACTTTCTTAAGTGACAGGAAGCAATATTTATCTACATTGTAAGAAATAAAGTTTTCCGTTGATACCAAGCACGATGTCGTCGGGCGATTCTAAAAACATGAAACGAATCGGTAAAAATGTAAACATTAGTATAAATCGGTTGTTTGATGACTCCTCATGAGAATATTTTTACGGGCGCCCATGGCGACAGCTCTTTTTGACCTGTTGATACACATATTAAAACAAACAATAATTAAGTAATAGTAATTTTGTTTTATAATTTTATTTCGAGTACAGTGAATCCCCGAATAATAAAATGTAATAAAATGGTTTGCTGATCTGAAGGCCAAGGGAAAAATGAAACCACCCTTAAAAACAAAGCATGTTCGTATAAATCCTTTATCAAATGTCATATCGAGCAATGGGGCGAGGGGCTAACAATTGGACAAAACTGTCAAAACATGTCCTTTGGGTGCCCCAATGATGACTAAAATATATTAAAAAAGGGTATTGTTTTTTAACACATCAGTCGGTCAGACGAAGGTTACTGCAAACTGCTGAGCCTGAGGGATTGCGTTTAACATTTTAATTTTAACAAATCCCTTGAATTTATTTTAAAATGGACGATTGAAAATGAAGAAATACTGAATTGCCAATATAATCGAAGTACGACTTTATAAAAAAGAACAGTTTTTCAGTTTCTATGTGATTCTTTTCTACACATATTTATTTTTAAAAAAAATGCTTTCAAATAGGTGGGGCAGATTGTTCATAATTTCGATATTAAAAAGACAAAAATAAAGTTTCGAACTTAATATAATATATGTTTATGGCAAAGTATGAAATACATAAGACATGACATACATTGCATATAGGCAATGCTTGCCCGGACTTAGGCAAATTATATAATAACACAATGATAAATAACAGGGGCAAAAACACTTGAACAGCTAGAAGTAATTTTCTAGCTTCTTAAAAAATTGTTTAACTTGAATGGCATTTGAATTTATGCGATACATTTTTTAAAGCAAAAAAAAAAAAAAATTACGTGAGAGATTTTTTATCCATAGGACAGTAACGACTTAAGAAGTAATTTTCTAGCTTCTTAAAAAATTGTTTAACTTGAATGGCATTTGAATTTATGCGATACATTTTTTAAAGCAAAAAAAAAAAAATTACGTGAGAGATTTTTTATCCATAGGACAGTAACGACTTCTTACGCACAGAGTAAACAATTAACATGAATAATACGTTGATAGTTTTGGCTCTGATGGGCTCCGATTGCAGTTTAGAAGCACACACGCACGCATACACACACACACGCAATATGTCATTGTCTCCTTTAAATGTAGATTCTTCAACTTGTGTATAGTGGTCGATTTTTATGATGTGTGTTGATTATTGTTAATGTCAAATTTGTGTCATTGTTTATGTTAAGTTCAAATTAGATTGAGTTACTTCTGTAATGAGTAATTGTCAAATTGTCCAGTGCTTTTCCCCTCACGGGTCACTTAGATCCTTCCCATATTTCCGCGGCACCATAGTTAAAAGATGAAAATATATAAATAAATGGTTCACGGTCATTTTAAATTTAGGCTAGTCGTATAATCGTGAAATTTAGAACTAGTCGATTTTTAAATGGTGTTCAATTTTTAAGCTCAAAATAGAAACATAATATTTTTTTTTTCAAAACTGCCTTTTCACTTCTTTTTTTGTGTGTTAGATCTAAAACCATTAAGTACGTCACACTATTTTAACCGATTCTCCCTCACTTCACGATCTGTCACAAAAGTGGGAACTCCCCACACCCCCTTTTCCCTAAGTATGCTAAACTTTCGAAATGAAAAAAAAAGTGTTTCAAAAATAAAATTCAGTCTAAAACACACTATTGAAATTAATCACTGCTGCGTGACAGAATAAATCAAGCACAGCAGAAATTTAAGCATCACTATAACTTTAAACTTCAGCTTTTAAAAGTATGAATAGTATGATTAAAAATTATAAAAGTTTGAAGACACATTTGATTTTTTATTAACAAAAACCCTCCCCCGTGTCACTCTTTTTAAACTCCCTCCCGAACGTAACACACTTAATAGATAAACCATTTTTTGTAGATACAATAAATCCGTTGCATAAGTAAAAAATTTGATTTTTAGATGTTCAGACTTCGCAAAGCCGGTAGAAGGTAGCGATTCGCCCGCTTCACACATGGAATTAATAAACGGAATAGCCATCCTATAAATAATAACATAAAAAATGGCGGATTTAATTAGGCGACCAGAACCCATGCAATCTTCTCCCCGATCAAGTCCAAGAGATCGGGGATCAAGATCACCAGCATATCCACGACAAGATTCTTCTGGAACACTTAAAACAACTATCAGCCTGGTCCCTGGAAAAAACCCTTCGGTTATTCACAAAGGATCTTTTTACTTAAACAAAGACATACCAGGTAGGCGGCTATTCAAAAAAAAAAAAAAAATTAAAATTATCCAAAAGAAGAAACCTAGGCCTAATGATTCATGTTCAAAATTCTGTGGTGACAATTCGTCAACCATTATTCAGTACTGTACTATCATTCATTTTGTATTTTAGCAGGGTACAAAAAAAGTGTAAAAAGTAAGGTAATCTAATAAATTAATAAATCTACCACTTGAGCTTCGGCCAAGAAGAAACCCAGCTGTTCGGTTTGGAAGGGCTAGTTAAACAACTATTCTTACATTGGAGTTTTTTAATATTTTTGCTTCCGTATATGCTTAAGTTATATTGCACAATACCAATACATTCATTTAAATAATTAGTACTTCCAAGCTACTGTTATGCCAGGAAGAAAAAGAGACAACAATAGTGCCGATGCCCGAAATGTTTGATACAGATAAGATACAAAATGAAGAAGAATGGGGGCTGTCCACACTACTGCTGAATTTGTCAGACCCCTTATTCAGCATCTAAGATGGTGCATTCATGTACCACAACCGTTTTCGTATTTTTTAAAACTTCATTTTCACCTTGGGGGAGAACTATGCATAATTCCATTTTCACACATTAAATTGTTTAAATTCTTCTATTTAACAAAAATTGTCTTGTGTTATTTTTATTAGTACCTGTACTATTATTATGGGAAATAATACGTACAACCAATGTCATTAAAAATAATATAAGAATAATTATTTAAATAACCCTTCCCACCGGAACAGCTGGATTTTTTCTTGGTTGATGCTCAAGTGGTAGATTACCAAAAGTAAATACCATTCAATTGACTGAAATTACAATCACTTCGGCTTCGGTCTACGGCCGGTAAAATTACAATCAGTTAGTTTGAGTTACTGACTGAGTAACATTTAATATTGACTATCACTATATTATACTTAATACTATCACTGGTTTATGATAATGCCAGAGATTCACCAGTGATTGAATCCCTGTTTACTGGTGAATCTCTGGCAGGCTTTGGCATTATTTATTTTTAACCAGTGGTGATACTGACTGATACTCATTGATAGTAAGACCAAAGCTCAATAAATAGGATTTCTAGAAGTTCTAAACCACAGATCAGAATATATGTAGTCGTTTGAATGGGTTGGTAGAACAATTTTTCGGTAAATAAGGGGTTTATTAGTAAAGGTTTTGAACAAAAATATTTTACCCTGCCCTAAACACAGTGATGTCCCTTTGACTTTGGGAAATCCCAGCAGTGGATGTAAAGTCAAATGAAAATTTTCATTTGTTTTTATAAAATTACAACATTCAAAACAAATTAAAGAAATATATTCATCCTAAAGAAATATATATTCATCATTGTTAATAGCAGTATTAGTATGCTGAAATGACCATTGGTTAAAAAAAAATAAAGCTGTGCACATGGCTAAAAATTCTGTCTATTGAAGAAAAAAAAACCAGTATGCTATAATATTCTGGGGTGGGTGACCCCTACCACAACCTTCCCCTCCTAATTTCAAGACAAAAATAAAAAGTAAGTGTAAATCATGTAGATGGACGAGATAAACTTGTATCAAATAAGTACAGAACTCAAACTCCAAATCTTTTGAATTTAGGACTAGCGCCTGAAGTAAATCTGGGGATCCTCCATGACCTATATAGTGTGGAAATCCAACCTCATCCTAATTAATAAGGTTACCTAATTATTTCATTTGACCCTTAAGTACATGGAATATACAGCTCTTCAAAATGAAAAATTAATTGCAAGACATTCAGTACTAAAAATTTAGTTAAAGGCACTTATTGTTCCATGTACGGTATTTTAGTTTTTTTTAATTTACCGTACCTTTGTTGTCAACCTTTTTTTTTTTTTTGGGAATCTATACTATTAATATTAATACTATGATTAAACTTTTGGACTGGTGTGCTCAATTACTAGTTAAAACGTTTTTTGTTACATACTGGTATCCAATCTGATATTAATCATTAATAATTGAGAAATTACAAAATAAAAAATTAATTGCAAGACATTCAGTACTAAAAATTTATTTAAAGGCACTTATTGTTCCATGTACGGTATTTTAGTTTTTTTTAATTTACCGTACCTTTGTTGTCAACCTTTTTTTTTTTTGGGAATCTATACTATTAATATTAATACTATGATTAAACTTTTGGACTGGTGTGCTCAATTACTAGTTAAAACGTTTTTTGTTACATACCGGTATCCAATCTGATATTAATCATTAATAATTGAGAAATTCTGCACCTGGGATATGCTCTTTAAAATTCAATGCAAGAGGAGTTTCGTTTCCCAAATAGTCTTTATATGGATAAGCATGCATTGGTCAGTTAGAATCTTGCCTACAACAAATCTTTAGTATAAAAATTATCATAAAGTGAGGCATAGAACTAGAATACGTCATGCTAATTACTAATTAAAAATTTTGAATGGAAATTGGAAATGAATTGTATACATTTAAACAAATAATATATTAGTTGACTATGAATTGTGAAATAATTTCATGGGACACAGATGAGGCTGAGATTACAGGGAGCACCAACTTACTGAACTATTATAACCTGGAGCACTCGTACAACAGATTTCTTAACAAAAAGGTGAAAGAAGAGTTGAGTGCATTCCTTCCTCATTTACCAGGAAATATTGATTCTCCTGGAGGTCAAGATAACAGGTTTGCTTATGTCTATTATTTTTTTTGTGAACAAGAAAGAATAAAACTATTTCTTGCAAAGGTTCCTTTACAGAAGTAAAATTGTTATTTTAAAATTATTTCTGTTGTCAGAGTTTTAGCTTAAACAATAATAAGTTGAGCAATTAAGTAATTGTTGCCTTTATTTTTTTTACAAAAAATTATTGTTTGTAATACTGATACAGTTTAATTCAATCTTATTTTAACATATAGCAAGAATTTATTGTTCATTTTAAATTTACACATGTTGATATAGTTAAATAATTTAGATACCGGTATCATATTTTACAATGTACATTTTGCCCTCTAGTTCCTTGCGGTCACTTATTGATAAAGTTCCAATAACAGGGAAGGAACTCACACAATTATCAGGATCAGCTCTATCTGGATTTAGGTTGCATCCAGGGCCTGTAAGTTTTGCTAAATTTACTCACAACTTTCTTTGTAAATTTATCATTAAAATGTTAACAGAATTTTTTATTTATTTTGGTAGGAAAATTAATCTTTACAAAAAACAATTTTTGCAATAGATTAAAAAAGCTAAATAATTTTAGTACGGTATCCTTTATCAATTTGTACACCTCTGGTTCAAAAAGGGTTAGCAAATATGAAATACAGTACTTTTGTAAATAAATGTTGTCATTTGACCCCGATTTCTTAGCTTCCAGAACAGTATCAGATCATGAATCAAATGACACAAAAGAAGAAACGACATAAAAAGAAAATAAAAGATTCAGAAAAGGGGAGTGCATTGCAATTAGCTCAAAGTAAGTGTTTTTCCAATTTTCTTTTGAATATAAATTATAAATCTGTTTTGGTCTAATAGAATAATCAGAATATGAAAACTTAAAGAAATTTTAGTAAATCAATTATAAATTACTGAAACTTATCAAGTAGATAAATCTATTTCAACAAATTTGAATTTCAAAAGATCCAACAAAATGTATGAATCAATATTGGTTTGGGGCAAACTCAAAAAGAAGTAATGGTTTCGTAGCAGCATTAAGTTTATCCACAGCAGACAGTGGAACAGGTGAGCCTGAAGCCAAAAAGCCTAAGCGTCCCAAAAAAGAAGATGACCAGAAAGATTCAAAGAAAAAAAGAAAGAAGGACAAGAAGAAGAAAAAGGTACTGGTACTTGTCAGGAGAGCTATTTTTGGCTGAGAAAATGCATGCTGCATGCAATACAAATTTCCATTAATATTTCAGTACATTTCAGGAAATTTAGAAATCAACAAAAAAAAAGGATAAGTAAAAAAAATGATCCATCAGTCAGAGAATAAAATATGATTTTTTCATAACATTTTATTTTTGTCAGCTCAAAGCATTCCTCCAAAATTGCATGCATTCAAACTTCATTTTTTTCCCTTTAACACTTAAGTTTTTAAAAATACTTTTTGTTTCTTGTTAAATCTTCATTTGTCTTGTCTTCTGAGGAAGGCTCTTAGCCAAAGCTTTCCTCTTATTGTCCTATTACAAGCTTCCACTTACCCTGTTCTTCTATTACCTTCACACAGTTTGAATCTAGTCCTTCATTTTTTATGCATTAATATTAATAGACAGAGAAAAACTCAAATTTTACACCCCCCTTACTTTTTTAATTTTCTTTTTTTCAAAATTATCAAAGCAGCTAAAATTTAAAAAATATAGTACAATAATAAAATATTATTTTAGTTCTTGATCAGATCTTCATTTTATATTTATGGGAGAGTAAAATGATACATGCAAAGTGAAGTGTTGGTAACACTTCTTAATCATTTTTAAAAGTTAGAATAGTTTTGTTTTCAATATCCAATAGCTTGTTTCTATTGCTTTCTTTCTCATGCAGAAACACAGTCCAGAACCAACTGTCACAAATGGACCTGATCCAACTGTATAGTGTTTGCCCGCAAAATTTGTACATAATGGTGTGACAGTAACTATGAAAGCATTGCTATAACTATATGTGTGATATGCGACCATCATTATTACATGTTAACCATGGCTTATAATTTTATTACATGCATTGCCTAGGGTGAAGACAGGAAGGTGTCTAGAAATTACTTAAGTTTGTCAGGGGTATTACTTTTTGTTAAATGACCAATACAAGTTTGGCCCATTTTTTCACATTGATTTTCAGCCATTTTAACATTATAGAGAATCAGTTAAAATTGATTTAAAATCTATGTCATTATTATCATAATGATTCTTGTTGAAGAAATTGCATTGTTCAAAATCATAAATATCAACATAGATTTGAAATTCCTTGTTAACTCTTATTTAGATAAGATAGGACATGGAAGAATGAGATGTGTAATTGGGTTTTGTATCATATTTTGTGAATGTCTGCAGTTTAATTTTTTTCATGAAGCAAATTAGTTGTAAGCATTTCAGTTATATCATATTGCTTATTAACTGGTGTAATGTGTATGATGTACATAATTATTTTTAGGATTTATGTATTATATTTATGATGGAATAAATGTACCGGTATTTAAAAAAAATCTAAATGCTGTTACTTTTACTGATGCTTTTGTTTTTTAAAGTTTTAAAAGTGGTCCACATTTTAGGTGACTTTGATCATTAGTATTTATTTCAAAAGTAGTATTTATACATATTAAATTGAATTTGACTCTAACGGAATTCCTTTTTACAGATAACATAACTGCTCAAATAACAGTTTTTAAAAACTTATATTCATTTTGGAAATAATTTTATTTTCAGAAGAAATAAACTCCACAATAACATGTAGATTAGACAATTTCTATTGAGAACTTTATTATAGGAAATGTTTCAGAAAATCCTTAAACAATTTTCTTGAATGGACAACTGTACTGAATGTTATATTTAAATTTAAATCTGTCCTTTCACTGAGATGGGGCAGATGAAGGCTTTTCTTCTTCCTCAGTAAAGTCTTTTAGGAGATCAAGGTCTAGCTTTTCAAATTTCTCCTGTAAATGGACAGGAACATCAACTTTGTGCAAATCTTCCATTCTTTCATCGGGCTCATCAGAAATCAGCAGCTCACAAAGTTTCTGACAAACAAGTTTTGCCTTTGGATCTTTTTCCCATTTATGAAGCTCCCTTAAAATGACGTATGCATTTTTTTGCTTGATATACAGTCTGCCTTGCTTTGTGGCACAGAGCTGCAATGACAGCAGGAAATCAATGTAAAATAATTAAAACTCCAAATGGCGCATCGCCAATACGTAAGATATGCTTTAATAAGAAAAATTTGTTAGAGCCTTTTCCCATTGTAATGTTTGTCAAGGAGAATCTTCGCTGTAAAATCCAAATTAAAAAACCATTAGTGATTTCATTGTAAATGTTATTTCTCTTGCTGACCTTTTCTCACAAAAATGAGAGCTATATTTTTCACTTATCTCTGCGGGGTAACTGATAACTTGCAGATACGAAGACTTGCTCTTAAAATATTTTTACAAATGAGTTTCTAAAAGGCTTTTCACCTGCATAATTGACTCCATTAGCATAGCTCTGAGGTCAGGGTCAGATTCCCTCTTCTTATCTGGTGGCAGGTACTGAAGATCAATAGGTAACTTTTCCATCTCGTCCTCATCTAACTCTTCTCCACCAGCAAGGGGCAACAAGAGTTTGGATAAAATGTCCACATCATCACTGAGCAGCCAAGAATGGTAGTCTGCAAATGAGCAACACAATTATCACTGACCATTTTTTAAACAGTATTGGTTTTGTCCATAAAATAATTCATATAACAATAATAATACAAATAATACAAAGTATAACTTAATAAAGACGAAGCTTTAAAAAAATTGTTAGTATTGTTTCAAAATTTAAAAATGGAACAAAAAGCCATTGCACTGAGTTTTAATTAGAGTAATAAGCTAACACTAAAACTAAGGAGTCTAATGCTGTAAATTTTGAACAGATAGACTGTCTATAGACACAGTTGTGAGTAACTTGAAATTTTGAGGTTAATGTCATAAATCCCAATTGCCAATAGTAGAGAAGAACCTTGACTCTTCATAAAAAAAAAAAAATCAGGCTGAAAGATATATTAGTTAAAAATAAAAATCTCTGACAACATACCATATTCAAAGCAGCAGTTTTTTAAGGTTCCAATGATACCTCCTCTCCTTGTTGTTGACTCTGTAAATTCAGTAAATGGTAATAGTTTCTGCACAATACACCTATCTTTATCCATTATAATTTTCCGTATGGCTGGAACTTGTGTAAGGTTTGACAATATAAGTCCAAGATAATGAAGATTTGCATTTTTATTGTAGTTAACTTGACATAAAACATTTACAATTTTCTCCATTGTTACCTTCGAATTTTCAGTTAAAATTTGATCTGCTAACAGTTTTGCACAAGAAGGCAATCTTGTTATATTTGATACAATACTTGCAGCTTCATCTGCAAATACAAAATCTGACTTCAAAATCTTGTGCAAAATGTCCAAGCCGAATGTGGATGTATCCTCCTTATGCATTAGTTTCCATGATATGGTGTCTTCAGATGTCAGGTTTATGAGTGTCAAAAATGCATCTTTGGCTGCATCATGTTGCGAGTCTGATGTCAGAGATACAATAGCAGGTAAGAACGAATTTCCTTCTGCTATGAATTCTCTTCCTTCTTTTGAACCAGTCATTTCTAAGAAATACCTTATTGCAATAGACTTAACATCGGCTCGAGCTGATGGTGTGAGGAACGGAAGCAATTCTTTTTCCAGGTGCTGTTTCGTCTGTTGATCTAATGTCATTGTTGAACGAACTTTTATAGTTGATTAAACAAAAAAATTCGTTATAAAATAAGCTTTAAACGAACTATTGATGAGATAGTACTAATGTTGCCAAAGAAATTTAATTTGAATCCAGAAACAGTTCATCAGCTACTACATAAATACCCGGTACAATTATAACATGTGTTGGCTGTAGTATTTACGTCGCCATAAATTTTTGGAGTGGCTGCGTAAAACGTTTACAATTAATTGAGCCAAAGTTGCGCTTACCACGCTAAAATGCGGACCCTATTTTAAGAAAGCGAACTGCAGTGAATCCATTCATAATTATTGTATCTTATGGATGTTTACATAAATTTAGAAATATCCTAAAACATAATATAAAAATTACACAAAGTAATTAAACAATTGAAAGTTATAGCGAATTCAATTTATATTATTTTAGCTTTTGCATATTAGATTTACCGTTGCTATTAACATAGTTGCTGGGCGTGGTATTTTTATATTTTGTTCTGTTCTTTGAAAACAAAATTATTATTATACATTTCTTATAATTCTGATATTTGGGATTGTGTAAAACATATGCAATACGTTTATGTTTCATAAAAGCTTAAGTTTCTTGCATTAATATAATCTCCCACTACCCTAAATTTATAATAATCAAATAAAGCGATACTGGTGAAAGGTATAAATAAATAAAACATAGTCAAAGGGAAGCTACTTATTTATACTTTCAATTTTATTTTGACAGAAGGTCATTCGAGACTAAAGTAAACATGCTATAAAGATTTGAAGGTTCCCTAACCTGACTGAGCGTTTCATATCGATCTTGTTTTATTAAATAATATGGCTGCTTTTAAATCTCCTCTTCAGCTATATAGGTATCTTATTAGGTGCGTAAAAAAACTACCTACTGAGGCCCAACCTTACTACAGACATCACCTAAAAATGGTAAGTAGCCTAATAACTAATACTAATTAGTAGCCTAAGGCGCCTAAGCAGGCTCATTGATACAATTTCAATCAATTTGAATAAAGAATAAGCCAAGAATACCGTACACGCATTAGGAAGCAGGTGAGTTCCTGGAGTATAACTAAACATCAGCTCTCCACCTTGGCTAGTTACACACAAATTGGAAAGCATTCAAATTCAAATGAAGAAAAAAATTTAAAATATTGGTAACTGACGAGATAGCACACGTTTTTTTTTACTTTGGTTGCAGCGACCCACGAACTTATGTCCTAAATGTATCCCTAAACCTAACCTGAACCCTAAATCTATCCCTAAACCTAACTTGAACCCTAAACTTAGCCCTTACCTGGGTTTTGACCCTATCGGAACCAGGGTTTTTGCCATGACGTATCACACAGCCGCCATCTTAGTTGCCGCAACCCGTGAACTTTGACGGATTGCTGCAACCAAGATGGCGGCTGTGGAAAAATAAATAACTCACGTTTAATAAAATTAGGAATAAAACTTTAAAAATTAATGAAAAAAAATTGAGCCATGGGATGCCGCAATTGTTAAAGGTTGTTATGCAGTACACTATTTTTCCGTGCTTGAACTTTGCTTGACCCAAATTAGATCCCTAGCAGACGGTAGAGTTTGTTGTGGGTGTGGCTTAGTCTTTGAAGTATCGTGTTTACTACCGCTCTACCAATTAAACATGGTTAGTATGTCTACTAGTAGCTTATGGAACGTTCTCGATTGTATTAGAAAAGTAAGGGCGTTTCTAAAAGCGCCCGTAGACCCACATATATAATGGATTGACAGGCACGGAGAGGGATAGAGATTCAGATAGATATATTTTAACTTCACAAGACGTGTATCATTCTTTGTGTACTTATGTGTTTATTCACTTTCGTCACTGTACATTATTAATTGGCACATTGTACTAACTGTGTTAACTGTGTACCGGTACAAGATCTACCATACTGTAAGTTGAGGATTTGTTATTATATTTCTTTTGTTTTATAATTGTATTATTACTAAATTAAATTTTATTAATTGTAATTGGTACTGTTTTGGGTGTCATACTTTTGTTATTTTATTTTTCTATGGTAACGTCCTTTGTTAGGCACTGTTTGAACCAGCCATAAAATTAAAATAGGAGATTAATTTCTCACCAGAGAAGCCAGTGCATAACAAAGGTGCTCAACTTGCCCAGCCCAGTCCCTTTCATAATAATAAATTATGCTATCTTGAAACTTGTCCTCTCGTCTGCCAAACTTAAAAATGGTTGCAGTGTAGGCCCTTTGGTATCGCCTGGAAATACCCGAAAAACGGGTAGCATAATTTCGTTGTCAAAATGGCGACCTCCAATTTTTAATTTACTGAGGGTATTGTTGGTTTGCCTTTTATAATCGATTTTTAGAATAATAAATTATACATCCTCCAATTACTTAAAGCCGACATCTTGCTTGTTCTATTGAGAGTGTATATGATTTTATTTTTCAAGGTTCAAGCTTTGAAAATTGAAGTTAAAAATAGGTTAATTTCACTCATCAATAACTTTAAAAAAAAACTGCACTCCATTATAAAAAACCCCACTCCTTAAGTATATAGGTTCATTTACAACATATCCAAAATTCATGAGTGTAGACCATAGGAATCCTTCAAAAATGAAAGTCCCAGAGGTCATTTTTTAAAGGCTATATAATTTGTCATCAGGGCAACAGAGCTTATTGCCAATTATCGATAGCAGCCACGGGGAAGTTAATAATTCATTAAATTGGTTATCCAGAATATAAATTGGAGATATAACTAATAATAAATTATTTTATACAAATGAAAAATGTTTAATAACATAAATACTTATTATTGGCTTATGAAATATTAGTGGTTTTAATTTTTGGGTTGGTTGCCCTGGACATGGCTGACATGGGATTGATAAGCACTTGTCTTTAACTTATTATGATTTAAGGAGTGGTATAAATAGAATAGCAAAACGAGGTATGTGGAAGCTTGAATTTAAGGACAGGACAATAAGATTAGAATGTTTCGGCTTAGAGCCTTCCTCAGCACACAAAACAAATGAAAATATCACATTGTTGGATATTTCTTGAGTTGTTTACTGTGTTCTGTTCCTTGAGATATTTTCATGATTAATTTAATAAAAATAAGTGTTGAGTCTACATATTTTAATTAAACATATTTTTTTATAAGGAAAATTATTTACATCAAAGAATTTTTTGGGGAATATAACTAAATTAAAAATGTGTATTTTTTTTTATAGTAAAACTCATATTAACTATATTCCCTGTAAATGTTATATTTTTATATAATTTTATTTTATAATAAAGTTATAGGCGTAAAAGCAAAATCCAAATAGGGGGTCACACTTATGGAGGGAAAAAAAGTAGTTTTGAGGTCCTTACTAAAAAATTCATAACTTTTTAACCACTTGAGCTAGAAAGTTGATCTTGGTGTTTCTGTAATCTATTCTCTAGGCTCTATACTCTATACCAGGGGTGGCCAGACCTGTAGTAACTGAGAGCCATTTTTAAAATAAAAAAAATTGTTGAGAGCCGCATTGAAGCACTATGGGTCACGACCCCACTCGCTATGAAAAATTCCTTTTGTGATTTATTTTTAAAAATTACTTTTTATTCGAATTTAATGATGTAAACATTTCAATTGTTTTAACCCTAACCGTATGTTGAAGAAATATATGCGTTACAGTTACACAATTGAAGAAATATATGCGTTACAGTTACACAATTAACAAATATTTAAATATATAAAATTTATGAATTGAAACACACTGCATATACACTCATAATTATAGTGAACATTAATTGTTATGATTCTGCTGAGAAGCCTTTGAAGTAGCAAGTTTCTTTAAATCTGGTTGGTAGGTAGTAGTTGTGGTGTGAAGAAATTCTGTCTGATGCTGGTTACTATTTACTGCTCGATGCTTTGATTTTATAAACTTCATTGTGGAGTACAAAGATTCACAGTAGTAGGTTGTACCGAAAATGGATTGAAGTCGGCAACTAGCTTTCTTAAGTTGAGGATATTTTACTTCAAGCACGAGCTTCCAGAAATCCATCACAGATTGTGACTTGTGTATCATCGCCAAACCTTGATCTTCCTGTAACTCTAACAGCTCCATTTCAGCAGCAGTAGGTTCCATAACGATGTTCATGGGAAGCTGGAAACCATCTTTAATTACGTCTATCATGAATGGATTTATGAGAAAAGCGGAACAGGATTTTAGTTGGTGCAAGTCATTAAACCTGGCTTGGAAATCTTCCAGTAATCCTTGTAACCTATCTCTATATGCCCCAAGCTTTCTAAGTTGAATGCCACCATCAGAGTATGAGCTAACTCTATTCTGAAGACGAGGAAAGTGCTTAAACTACCTTGACAGGATATCTCTTTGAAGAATCTGTATTTGGTTCTGAAAGCTAAAAAAATTCTGTATAAGATCTGAAATAAGCTTATCTTTTCCTTGGAACGACAGGTTCAGATTTTGTAGATGCTGCATAATGTCAGTTAGAAACATCAAATCTTCCATCCAATCTTCGTCTGCCAGCTGTGGATAAGACTTGTCTTTTTCTGAAAGGAAAGCAGTAATAGGTTCAAGCAAGTCTACAAATCTGTTTAAAATATTGCTGGTAGACAACCACCTAACAACACAGTGGAATGAAAGGTCATCTGGTTTGTCTTCGAGATCTAGCTCACCAATGAAATTTATGGAATTGCCAATGATTTTTTGCACTTGAACGAATGAAATTCACAATTTGTAGAACCGTTGTCATTACACTTTCGAATTTAAAATATTTGGCTGCAAGATTTTCTCTGTGAATGATGCAGTGTACAGGAATTTTGTATCATTCGTTAAAAGCCCCATCAGGCTTACATTTCTACCAAGCATTGATGGTGATCCATCTGTTGCCACACTTACAAGTTTATTTAGTGATACACCAGCATCCATCAGTGTTTTATCAAGGGCATTCTTTACATCAATACCACGAGTGGTATCTTTCAGTGCCACTAAGTTTAATAGCTCTTCTTTTACAGCCACGTCTAATGAAACATATGTTGTTCGTCCGTCGAAGTCGACAAGGACCATCGAATCATCCGGTTAGGAGCGGGCGGGGGGGTTGGGATTACGGTGAGCTCTTAGGTGGCTTGCTAGACCGATCCTTGCACGGAATAATCTATGACACCGTGGGCATGGAATAGTTGCTTCAGACGATGACCTAATGTTGCTCTTTCGG